GCGGCGGCGGCAGCGCGGAAGGGAGGCAGCATTCGCTCCATAAGACGCACAGACATTTTCCCCCATCTTTTGGGGGTGAAAAAGTGCGTCTTATAGAGCGAAAAATACGGTATATTTTATTCTTCGTTGAATCTCCAGAAAGTTGGGGAAGAAAAAAGAAATGCAAAGACTGCTCGTTAAGCTGCTTTTTCGTCACTGTTGTAACTGTGATATTGGTCACTAAATGAGGACCACCGCTAAGTGACTAACATTTCACATCACCTCAAATCAAGTCCCCGGAAGGCACTCCAGGCATGAAAATAACCCAGGTTTCAAAGCCACCCAATAAGGAATTCTGGTAATGCAAATGCAGGATTGAAACCGAGACAAAACTAGATCCGATTCTTCCTTTCAGACTTGTTTTTGTTTTAAAAAATACTTTTGGTTCTGTTTTTCCCTCTGACAACCTGTGCATAAGGCTATTCCATTTTATCTTTTAAAGAGCCCTAAGGAGCTAAAGATACTGGCCAGGCCAAGAATATTCAGCATAAGGATGGAGGTTCATTCTCAGAGCTTATTTCCAAATGTGTCGTTACCAGGCTGAGCAACATCTTCAGCGGAGTTGAGGGGGGGGGTCTCTGTGCCTGTGTTTTTCTGCTTATAAAGGCTTTGTGTGCTCATAGGTCTTGTGATGGCTCAGGTGTGGGTGTGTCAAGCGAGGGTCTTGTAATGGCTCTTGTGATGGAGAGGTCATGTCAGATGAGGGTCACTGGGAGGTGAAGTGCTGGCTGTGGGGGGCTTGAATGGGTGGGTTGAGGGTCAATGCTGTCCCTGGTGGGCTGTGATTTCAATTCCGAGGGGTTCGTAGGCTGGTTGTAGGTTGATGTGTCTGTTGATGGAATTGCTTGTGCAATGCCAGGCTTTGATGAACACACGCATGTGGAGGGTGGTAGCGTGCCAATGCATCTGGAATTATTCCAATCAAATTGGTGCTGTTTGGTGTCAGTCTGGGTAGAGATTAGGGATTTGGGATCGTGGTGTTTGACTGCCAGCCGACATTCATGTATTCTGGTTTTTAATCAACCTGGTGTTTGTCCCACGTGGAACTGGTTGCAATTGTTGCAGTTAATTTTGTAAATTACATTGTTTCTTTCATCCTTCTGTATCTTGCCTTCGGTTCTGGATAATTCCTGGCGGAGTGTGGCTGTGGGTTTGTGGGCTGTTGCTATTCCTAGGGGTTGGGGAATTCTGGCTGTCATTTCAGCCAGAAATGACTGTCAGCCTAGTTATCTTTGCCTCTTTTCAAATTTTACATCCAGCGTTTTAAGTTTCAACATTTCATTTTCCTACCAGCCAGAGTCTCTCTGTGAGGGAGAGGGTCTGTTTCTGATGGACACAATAAAATGAAAGCAAAGAAGGATTTGAACTGGTCTCTCTTGGGTTCAAGCAAAATGCAGGCTTAAGTCAGGATCTGATCAGTCCTTCTGCCTTTCCATCTAGCGAGGCCAAGAAAGCTGGCGACAAATATTGAATAAAACCAAAACTTGCCCTTTCTGAAGACTTCAAGTCCACCAGCTGTCACCCAAACCGCTTCACCACCCCTTCCCGTCTTCCTGGCATCCTAGCTGCCAGCTTGCCAGCTTCCTTCCGAAATATGGCACCCAGAACAGAATGTGGGAAAACACCCCATCTCTTTTTAGCCCAGCTTCCCACAAGGCCACATGCCAGGTGATCTGAGCAACACCCATGTGATGGCTGATACATGTTGCTAAACACGCTGGAGTCCCGAAGCCAAACCAAAACAGATCACGACCCCTTTTAAGGACACGCAACAGTATGCAAGAAGCCTTCTTAAAATACTTAACAGAGTTTTGCAAAAGAAAAAAGGACAAAAAAAAAAATTAAAATAATCCTAGCCTTATCCTGGAAGTGGCATTGTTAAAGCACTCGGCGAGGTGCTAATTTACTAAATGCAGGCAGGAAAGCTGCCAAAACATATCTCCATTTCAGCTCTCCTTTATATTTTAAAGTTCATTTCAAATGTATGTATTTTAAGCTTTAAAAACCGTTATGTTAGATCTCCACTTTGCAAAACGTTAAAGAAAAAACGTTTAAAGGCATTTTTCTCAAGCTTAGTAACTTTAAGCTGGGTGGACTTCGACTCCCAGGATCCCCCAGCCAGCCAGCCACACTATGAATTCTGGGAGTGGAATCCACCCAGCTCAAAGCTGCCGAGATTGAGAAACATTGGTTTAAATGCTCCCAATCAATTAATTCACCATAAGCTTCTAAACCAGTGTTTCTCAACCTTGACAATTTTACGGCATGTGGACTTCAACTCCCAGAATTCCACAGCCAGCAATGCTGGCTGTGGAATTCTGGGAGTTGAAGTCCACATGCCGTAAAATTGTCAAGGTTGAGAAACACTGTTCTAAACAGCACCGAAGATGAATCTTCCCCCCCAAACAGATGGGGTGGTTCAGATCGAGATTCTCTTCATCCACAGTTGGTGCTGTGTCAGTAGTGGATGATGGGATTGAAATCCAACCCAGTAAAGAAACGTGACAAAGTTGGATCCACTTACCCAGGGTGAATTCCCATTGTTCATTCCCAAGAGATCGTTCGGGAAGAACTTCTAAATCTAGCATTGGTTTAAACAGAATGGCCCGGCTGCCCTTCGCTGGTTCCCGATATGAACCGTAGTTCGTCCTGACAGATGGAGAGAGAGAGAAAAAAAAGGGGGGGTTATTCTTCCCTTCTTATCGCAGGTCTCACCCCAAAAGCCAAGGTATGCTCTCTCCAAGCTCGGAGAGGGTCCCTTCATCCCCAAATTCCCACTTCTGTTGCTTTTTTCTTCACAAGAACTTTCCTCCCCCCTCCCCCCCCCGGCCTTAGATCCCTATTTAAAGATGGGAGAAAATGCCCAAACCCTTTAAAGATGCAATATCTTGCAGCAGGCAGATTAAATCCCGTAATATTCTCCTCTTTCTCTCTCCTTCATGGGATACTCGGACACAGGGATTGCGTTCACAAGTGACAGGCAGGCCATCTGGCCTGTTTGCTCCCTCCTCTGCCCACCCCTCCCCTTTTGTGCCTCTGCCAGGAGTAACAACAGTGAGTCTAATCGATCCCTCGCCCGCCCGCCTGCCAAAGTTTGGGATAATTTTTTTCTCGGTCATGGACATACCCTGAAACCAGAGAGGGGTTTTCCCCAAGAGGAAAAACCCCACCGATGCGCCTGAAATGACCGATGGTCATGGTTCCCACAACCGGCCCAAATAACACGCCGGTTGTGTGAACCTACAAGTTCACGTATTGTGCAGATCCAGGGGAAGAGGCGGATTCAACGCCACCTGAGGAGGATCGGCGTGAAGGTGTGGGAGGACCCTGACCATCTCCAAAAAGCCACACAGCACCCCCATCCCTGACCCCCCCCCCCAAAAGGATGGTGCTGGAATACAAGTCCCAGCAGTCTGGCTGAGAGACAGAGGAGGCTGGGAATGGTGGTTTTCCACAGCTGGGGGACCCCCTTCCCTTTTTGTATGCCCTCCTGTCCCATCAGAGGGATGGGGGGGGTCTGTTTGTGGGCTTAATCCCCTCCTGGGCTCCTTATTGTCTTAGCAGGGACAATAGTCCCAGGGACAGCCCCCCCCATACAGTGGGGGAGGGCAGACTGCCTGGCAAGGGTACCCCACCCCTTTATTTATGTAAGCATGGGGGGGCTGCTTCACCCCCGTCCCAAAAGAGGGGTCTGCACAAGAGATGCCTCCCCATTATGGGGAGGGGGCTGGCTTTGGATCTGGAAAGACCCCTCCTCCTCGCCGGTCTTCCTCCCCGGGAGAAGCCCCGCTCCTCCTCCTCCTCCTCCTCGCCTCCCCCCCCCGCCTGGCCTTCTCCAACCTGGCGCCCTCCAGAGGCTCGGGGGAGGCTGGGGGCGATGGGGGGGTGCAGTGGGGGCTGGGGAGCGTCACCCCCCTTCCCCGAGGCGCAGGGCCCTCCCGCCGGGCAGAGGGGCGCGGCTACCCCCCCCCGCAGCCCCCCCGGAGCAGAAACGGCGCCCCCCGCCCCCAAGGCGCTCTGGCTTGGGTGGGGGGCTCCTTCTGGCACCCCCGCAAAGGCGCCGGGGCAGAGCCGGGGGGGACCCCTGCCCTCCCTCGCCCCCCGGCGGCGCCCGCCCCTCCCTGCCCGGGGGTGGCGGCTGCCCGGGAGGGGGCGGCGGGGCTGCGACTCACCTCACTTGCGGCTGCCGCAAAAAGCATGAAAATCGCCGCCGCCGCCGCCGCCAGCCCAGCAGGGGAGGGGAGGGGGGAGGAGGAAGAGGGGGGAGGAAGGGGCCGCGCCTGCGCGCTGAGGGCCCGCCGCGGAGAGAGCCCTGCCCGAGTTCAGGGGCGCCCCGCCTCCTCCTCCTCCTCCTCCCGGGGGGAGGAGGGAGAACTCTGCGCATGCTCAGAGGGGCCCCGTCGCTTTCTACCCCCCCCGGTGGAAAGGAGGCTCCCTTTTCCCTCCCCCCTTGCAATCTCGAGGGAGAAGCCCTCTGCACGTGCTCAGGGACACCCCCGCCTCCTCCCTCCTTCCCTCCCTCCCTCCAGGGGGGGAGAGCTCTGCGCATGCTCAAAGGAGCCCCATCGCTTTTCCCCGGTAGAAAGGAGCCTCCCCCTCTTTCCCCCCCCTGCAATCTCGGACAGAGAAAGCCTCTGCACGTGGTCAGGAACACCTCTCCCCACCCTTCCCTCCCTCCAGGGGGAGAATTCTTCGCATGCTCAGAGGCATCCCATGTGTTCTACCCACTGGAAACGGGGTTGCTCTTTTCCTGCAATCTCAAGGTGTGGTGGTGGTGGGGGGTCCCAGAGGCGCCCCATCTCTTCTCCCCTTCAGGAAAGGAAGCTCTGTTTCTACAGTCTCGAAGCGTGGGGAGGGGGAAGGAGGAGAGAAGCGCTCTGCACGTGCTCAGAAGCTTTTTCTTCTTGCAGCTATGGGGGTGCTGGGGAATCCGGGGATGGGGCTCGGGGTCCCCTCCCCTTCTTGCTCTCCTCCTTCCCTGGAGGGAGGGGTGTTGTTGTTGTTGCACGGGTCTCCCTTTGCTCCCAGAATAGGACAAGGGTGGGACTGGTGGAACTCTGCACGATCTCAGAGGCACCTTTGATCACGTCCTTCCGCCTTTGGGGAAGGGGACTGGAAGTTGACCCCGGAAGGAAGGAGAGAGAGGAAGGCAGGGAAGGAGGAAGGAAGGAAGGAGAGAGGAAGGCAGGAAAGGAGGAAAGAAGAGAAGGAAGGAAGGAAGGAGGAAGAGTGAAAGGGAGGGAGGAAGGAAGGAGAGAGAGGAAGGCAGGGAAGGAGGAAGGAAGGAAGGAGAGAGGAAGGCAGGATTCCTCCTTTCTTCTCTTCCTTCCTTCCTCCTTCTCACCTTCCCTCCCACCTTCCTTCCTCTCTCTCCTTCCGTCTTTCACTCCTTCTCTTCTTTCCTTCCTTTTATGATCTTACTATTACGTTATTCTTAAGATGGTTTCCGTTTACACCTTGGCGACTTCTTTTGATCTCTTGAAATGAAACCCACAGACCCTTTCAGAAGCTTCTGGAGATAACAATTTTGAATGCTGAGTAACATCAGAGTAAGAGTAAGACACAGGGTGGATCAGAAGGTCTGGAATTGTACCTATGCACAGTGAAAGGTTATCCTTCCGGAGTGAGCCCATGTTCTGTCCAGGCAAAACCCCTTAACCATCAATTATCCAGGTTAGGTGCTTGCTGTACAGCAGTGTTTTTCAAACTTGGCAACTTTTAAGATGTGCGGGATTCAATTGGACCTCATGCTAGCTGGGCAGTTCTGGAAGTTGAAGCTCCCACATCTTAAAAAAGTTGCCAAGTTCGAAAAACACTGCTGTACACCAGGGGTAGTCAACCTTGGCTCTTTTATGACTCGTGGACTTCAACTCCCAGAATTCCTGAGCCAGCTAAGCTGGCTCAGGAATTCTGGGAATTGAAGTCCACGAGTCATAAAAGAGCCAAGGTTGACTACCCCTGCATGTACACTAAGCCAGAATGCAACCACGCCAAAGAAAACTGACTTAAGGTTGACGCATAACAATTTTATATTAACCCTGACAATGTACAGCAAGGGCCATAAGAATGCAAACACAACCGTTGCCCAGGTTTTGTGTTGTGCGGCTGTAGTGTTTTGAAAAGTAAAAGACTGATGCCATCTAGTGGCCACTCGGAATCAGTACTTGAACAGCAATAGCAAGAGTTGGGAGGGACCTGGGAGGTCTTCTAGTCCAACCCCTTGCTCTAGCACAGGGGTCTTCAAGCTTGGCAACTTTTAAGACTGGCTGAGGAATTCTGGGAGTTGAAGTCCACAAGTCTTAAAAGTTGCCAAGTTCGAAGAGCCCTGCGCTAGCAGGAGACCCTGTACTAGAGGCGACCAACCTTGGCAACTTGAAGAAGTGCGGAATTCAAACTCCCAGAATTCCCCAGCCAGCCGTTGAAAAACAGCTGGGTGACTTTGGGCCAGTCATTCTCAGCCCAACCCACCTCACAGGGTTGTTGTAGGGAAAATAGGAAAAGGAAAGAATACATGTATGTTTGCCACCCTGGGATATAAAAATAACAAAGGCAGGATAAAATATAAATAAAATAATAAAGACTGGACTGCCACCTGTCAGAAATGGTACAGGGTCTCCTGGTTGGGTGAGGGGTTGGACTAGATGACCTACAAGGTTCTGTTCTATTCTGTTTCTGTTCTGTTCTATTCCGTTCCATTCCATTTTCTATTCCATTTTCTATTCCATTCCAGTTCCGTTCCATTCCATTCCATTCTATTCTATTCTATTCTACTCTACTCTACTCTACTCTATTCTTTTTTCTGTTCTCTAAAAGATGCTGGAGGACATGCAAACGTGTAGGTGGCCTTCCAACAACCATCTGCATTGCACAAACTCGGTGTCACTGTGGTGTGGCCAACCATTTGTCTTTGCTTATTCACAATGTTTGGGTTCATCATCCCACGATCCGACTTTTGAAGAATTGTACCGGCATCCCGCCCTCTGCCTTTCTCGGCTCCTTCCTCTCTGGCGCTTTGCCACAGTTTGTCTGTGTTTAAAGTTGGGTGGCCAAGCTGGGCTTGAAGGACACATGTGTCGGGGAAGAAAGCATGTTGTGATGGAGAAATGAGAAAGAGCTGGGGGGGGGGGGGGAGAGACATTTTGCTAGAAGAAAAGTCACAATTCATTTTTTCTCTTTGGCTCCATCTTGTGGACAATTCCAGCCACTTGTGGAATGCAACTGTATATAGCAGTGGTGGTGAACCTATGGCACAGGTGCCAGAGGCGGCACTCAGAGCCCTCTCTATGGGCATGCGCGCTGTCGCCCCAGTCCTAGGCCTTCAGCTGGGTTTTATAAAACCTTTTCGCTTTAGGCCTCCACCGCCATGTGCAAAAAAAAAAAAAAAGGTTCAATCAGTCAATTTCAACTTCTCGCGGGAAAAAAAAGATCTTGCAAAGTTGGAATTGATTGATTGAACTTTTCAGTCCCACCCAGTCTGCCGTTACCACCGCAGCCACGCCCACCCAATGGGCCACACCCACCCGGCACTCGACGATGCGTAAGTGGGTTTTGGGTTGCAGTTTGGGCACTCGGTCTCTAAAAGGTTCGCCATCACTGGTATATAGCTCATGTCAACGCGGCTTCTTAAGCTGGTCAACGAATAGTTAGCTGTATCCATCAGATTTTCTATTTGCATCGGGGTTGGTTTTTTGGTTCCCTGGGGCATTCTGTGAAGCGGTACCCTCCTAGGAGAATACCAAAAAAAAGCACCCTCCGGGGATTGATTGTCTGCTGGGGCAACGGTTACCCTATCTGGCCAATTCATCTGAGATCTGGTGATCCTTCTCCAGGAAGTCACATGGGCTGAGGACGATGGGGCCTGTGTTTGGGCCCTCTGGCAGACTGCGGTTGGGAAAAAGCTGCTCCAGATATTGAAGCAGCTTCCTTCCTCTGTCCTTCCTTCCTTCCTTCCTTCCTTCCTTCCTTCCTTCCTTCCTTCCTTCCTTCCTTCCTCCAGCCAAGCAGAGTCCCTCTGATATTCCCAACCATCAATCCTGCTGGGAAGAACCCACGTCTTACCCATCCCCATCCCCAACTCTGCTCCAGCCCCAGGGCTACCCAACCCTTTTCCCCCTGCCTTCCGAGTGAAGGAAAGAGCCAAGCGGGATAAATCCACTGCGATCCCTTTGAGGAGAGCCCTCCAGAAACTCAGTTGAACAGCCATGAGCAGGCTGAGCTCAACCACAGCTCCGCCAACATGGTTTTCATTTCGGGTAGCCTCTGTCCCACCCGCCAAGCCTGAGGAAGTCGGGGCGGGGGCAGTGGGGGGCCCCTCACTTAGTTGCTCAGTAGCTTTGACAGGCTGTTTGTGGCACTTTCAGACCCATCATTTCTTCCGGGGGAGGGGGAGGCGTTTCCCCCCCCCAAAAAAAACCTTGCCCAGATGTGGTTGTGCTGAGAAAGAAGGGGGGGGGGAAAGAATAGGACCCTGCTTGGCAGGAACATGAGGTCACCCCCTAAGCCTGGAGTTGTGGGGTGGGGGGAGGCTGTTAACCACAAAATAGCAGTTGCTCTCAACGGCCACTTCCCTCCTCCGCCCCCCCGCCATCGGCGCGCACCGCTTCTCCTGACATGCTTCCCCCCCTTTGGGCTCATTACAATGGCATCAATGTAGGAAAACTTGGCCCTGCCCGATTCTGTGATTCATGCCGAGTTAGGTCTAAATTTGTACCTCTCATTAGAAACAGATGCCTTGCTTGGCTGGGCCTGATTTTTCAAGCTAACTTTACTGATAATAATACATCTTGCATGTCAGATCAGAGGCCCCCGGGTCCACCGGGCTGCACCTAACAGGAGTCTTGGCTCAGCTGCTTCCCATCTCCCAGGTTTTGGAAAGGGAGGTGGGCTTGCCTTTCTGCTTGGGGGAGGAGGAGAAGGGGGGGGAGACAGTGGAGCAGGGGGTTCTGCCACAGAAAGAGGGGGTCCAGAAAGCAAAGAGGATGGCCTCAAGCATGTGTTTGCAGCCCTGACCTTTTTTTTTTTTTTTTACATGCCTAAAAAAATATTCAGGTGACGTGACAGCGGTTTCCAATATTTGTGGGGCTGCAACAAAGAAGGGGGGGGGGCTCAGTTTAATTCTCCAAGGCGCTTAAAGGCAAGACAAGAAGCAACGGATGGAAACTAATGAAGGAGAGAAGCAACCTGGAATTAAGGAGAAACTTCCTGACAGTGGGGACAAGTAAACCGGTGGAAGGGCTTGCTTTCAGAAGTTGTGGCTGCCCCATCCCTGCAGGCTTTTAAGAAGAGACTGGACAGCCAGCTGTCTGAAACGGTATGGGTTTTCCTGCCTGAGCAGGGGGTTGGACTAGAAGACCTCCAAGGTCCCTTCCACCTGTTCTGTCAATCCCGCAGAGCTTTGAACCTGCTCTTCTTCAAAAGGGACGAACAAGAGAAACAGAAAACAAAGGAGAACTTCTGATTACAAGAGATGGGCACATCCTGATAAAATAAATCCATGGCTCAGCTCAACGTTCTCCAACCCAAGGTCCTTGAGGTGTGCTGATAGTTAAGATGGCAATTCCCATGAACTATCATAGGTTTCAGGGGCTGTTCCTGGCCTTGTACATAGTTTACAGCCTGAATAGTAGCCTGTCAGGATAAAATACTTCTTGAAGTCTACATCATCTTCCGCTGCCTGGAGATATTCTGGACAAACGACAAGTCAGTTTAATACCAATGCAAGCGTCTTTTTGTGGGGCATCAAAGGAACCCTTCAAGAATTGCTCCCGCGGACAATAAGGGCTGCGTGTGAAGAGTGCATTTTTCCCACATAGCATTGTTTATTCCTGGAACGATCTTGGGACCACACCCAGCCTCACATGGTCATCTGACCATGCCTTGAAGCTATCCTGACTTTAAAGTGTTGTGGGAAACTCCTTAAGGCGTTTTTTTTTTTTTTTATTCATACCCCCCATCAAATCTTTGGTCGTCTCTGACTTTTTCCAGAAAAAGAAAGCAAAGCAGATCCAGCCATGTTTTTCAGTTGCAGCCTTCATATTGGAAGGTCACCCATTATCCCTTCTCTGCCTCGGTGTATGTTTTATGATCTTTTAATTACTTAATTAATTGCTGATGCTCTTTTAGCATATATATTTTTTTTTCTAAGTGCAAACAGCCGAGACTTGACGGAGAGTATAGGCTGGTAGAACATGCAAGCGATAAATAAGTAAGTTTTGATCTGCGGAGAGAAGGAAAATAGATTAGATTGGTTGGCGAGATTGCCGGTAACATCACTGTACATCAGTACGTATGACCGCAATTGAGCCCTTAACTTTCCATTGCTAAGCAAGGCGGTTGTTAAATGAATTCTGCTGCCCCATTTTGCCATCTTTCTCGTCAAGAGTTCGTAAGTGAATCAGTGCAGCCGTTAACTGAGTAACACGGCCGTTAAACGAATCTGGCTTCCCCATTGACTTTGCTTGTCAGAAGGTCGCAAAAAAAAGGGATCACATAACTCCGGGACACTGCAATGGACACAAATACATGCCAGTCGGTGCAACAGTTAAGTGTGAAAAATGATCGTAAGTCACTTTTTTTTCCAGTGTGGTCTTAAGTCTGAATGGTCGGTAAACAAATGGCTGTAACCTGAGGACTAATAGTAATAATAAAGTTGGAAGGGACCTTGGAGGCCATCTAGTCCAACCTCCTGCTCAGGCAGGAAATCCTATACCATTTCAGACAAATGGCTGTCCAGTCTCTTCTTAAAAACTTCCAGTGTTGGAGCATTCACCGCTTCTGGAGGCAGGTTGTTCCACTTGTTAATTGTTCTAACTCTCAGGAAATTTCTCCTTAGTTCTAGGTTGCTTCTCTCCTTGATTAGTTTCCACCCTTTGCTTCTCGTCCTGCCTTCAGGCGCTTTGGAGAATAGCTTGACTCCCTCTTCTTTGGGGCAGCCCCTGAGATATTGGAACACGGCTATCTTGTCACTCCTAGTCCTTCTCTTTGTTAGACTACAGAATAACAGAGTTGGGACCTTAGAGGTCATCTAGTCAACCCCCCTGCTCTGGCAGGAAACCCTACACCATTTCGGACAAATGGCTGTCCAGTCTCTTCTTAAAAACTTCCAGTGTTGGATCATTCACCGCTTCTGGAGGCAGGTTGTTCCACTGGTTAATTGTTCTCACTGTCAGGAAGTTTCTCCTCAGTTCCAGGTTGCTTCTCTCCTTGATGAGTTTCCATCCGTTGCTTCTTCTCCCGCCTATCCAAGTTTTTCTTTCACTAAGCAGATATTACGTCGGCAATACCCCTCCGTTCTGCCCCCCAGAGGAGGGCAGCGGCCCTAGAACATTTATTTTCCCTGCAGTTCTGTGCACATTGATAAAAGCTTGGTCCTTTGCTGTCACTAAATACATTTTTAAATCCTCGCTTGCCTGCTCTCGGCTGGTTTGGACGGTTACTGTCATAAAAAAATAGCAGAGAAGACGACATGAATAGTGGAACACTTTACATTATTGGGGTAATAAACTGTATTACGTTGCAAGGAAATTTTTTTTAAAAAAGCAGCTGTATGTACAACTCTCCCAGGACGTTTCTTGCCCATTCAAACCCTTTCCCGGAGGTTTTTGTGAAAACTGAATTTTTAAAAAAAACATCTCTGCACCTGCTTCCTCCTCGCAATCCACTCCACCTGCTTCCATTGTTCCCAACATATCACAGATTTCCCAGCCCGGCCCCTCCCCAGTCATTTTGGGATGGGAGGACGTCGACGGGATCCGCTTGAAAGCCAAAGAGGTTGAAATCATTCAAATCCCAAATGGTAAAAAAAAAACAGCGCATCGTTTGCTGTGTGGTAGAAAGGATGCCTCTAGCGCTGGGTCACAACTCAGAGGAAAATCACAGGTGCATCTGTGGTCTGCTCTTGGCGTGTACCACAGCTGCAATTAACATTTGACGAAACCAGACCGTTGAGCAGTTCCATCATTGTTAGTTTAGCCGGGAATTCATTAGGTAGCCTTTGAACCCGCTCTGGAAAGATTTGGAGAAAGTTGGAACCTCTTCTGTTTGCGATTCTGCATCTCCTGTGCCAAGACAGAGCAGCTGGAAGTGGGCTTTTTCAGTAGCTTGTGTGTCACAGCTCTGGAAAACACCCACTGTTTGCATTCTCCTGTCTGTTTTAACAATAGTTTTTTTTTATTGAGGTTGCAAAAGAAGCCATTTAATTAAACGTAAGAGACCAAATTAGTTTAAACGGCATTACATTTCAAGATTTTAAATAGTAGGCATTGCAAACTTTTTCTGGGAGAGCAGGCACTGGAAAAGTTTCAGTGAACTGATGTTTAGTTCTGAAAATAAATTTCAGAACTAAATTCTCTATATTCCAGAAGCCAATGAAAAATATATGAGGTGTTACGGATGACTGAAGCAAAAACCTGAAATTTCTAATTTTTCAACTGCATACTGAGAATCTATTACGTTTTCTATGGCATAGAAAAGGTCAATAATTTGCCAAATATTTCTTTTTTTAAAAAGTCAGCACTTCTGATCCTAAGTGTTATGATTTGCCTGCACTGCTTCAGAATATCGTTACAAAGAAATAAACAGCCACTTAGTTTCACTATACAGAAGTTTATTATGAACATGACAGAGAAAAAAAGACAGCAAAAGCAACGTTGATGCTTTAAGGCAACTTCTTAAAAGATGTTCTATGAAGATGATGCAACTTCTGTTTAAATAGAAATTATGAAAATATCAAATTGCATCAATAACTTAATGTTTAAGTTGAACAGGTTTGCACTAAATAGTGAAGGAAAACACTTGTTGATCTTAATGCCAGCATTAAGATATAGTGGCCTCTTCTGACAATCATATCTTGCATCGCAAGCCATTAAATCAGGAAATTTCTAATTAACCATAGTTTCATGTGTAATCCAAACCAAAAAATGAACTTCCGGTCAAGGGGAAACTAGATTGCAAAATTGTGATGTCTTTCATATTCCGCATTATTCTCTAAATAATTGGAAATTGAAAACTATGATCAATTTTGGGTTTTAAATCAATTTTGATTTAATTGATTCTACTGTGAACTGCCTGAAAATATGGGCAAAGCCCCTTTGCATCCCACCTTATTAAAACCAAGCTGTGATCAATGGAATTGACCATAAGTAGCATAGTTTTAAGGAATAGGATAAAAATATTTACACGCAAAGGTCAATACGCAATAATATAGTTTGCATACTTAAGGTTTTTTTCCCTCCCTCAAATCATATTGGAAACAACCGGATAACATCATGCTATTTGCGAGTAAAAGGGAACAGAACATTATGGATGATAACAGCAGCTAGAAATTCTTTGAAGCATTATTTCTTAAGGAAAATTTTTAAAAAATACACTGAAAAAAAAGAGTATCAAAATTAATAAAATGAAGTGTGACAGTGATAACTCTGTTTAGAGATCTGTCTGAGAATAGTACCAACAATCAACCGTTACAGTAAAGATAAAATCCAGGGTTGTCACATATGGGAAATTTCAACAGCTATTAACATAAATCCGTAGTTGTTTCTAATTCAGCTCCCATTATTAAAAAAATAATGCATCAGAGTTATTCTACTTGGATCAGTAGAATATTTTGGGGAAGAGGAGTATATACAAAACAGTAGAAATATAAATGCAAAAAATAACTGGTAGGAGACAATTAGATGAGATGATTGCAGTTATACCATTATTACATCCTCAAAGCTAGTATGCAGAAGTTTAAAATCCTGAGGTTCAAATGATCTGTAGCCTTAATTACCAGCTTTAAGGTCTCTCCTTGACCTTCCCCAGTAAGAGTGGTATTCGTATGCTGGCTTACTGGTTTGTTTAACCCATAGCTGTTCATCGCTTTCATCTGCCACACCAACATATATGATTTGGAATGGTGCCGTGTCAATTTTTAAAAAGCCTGGAGACCTGAAGTAGGAAAACCTCACATTCCTGGTTTGCTGCCAGTGCTCATCTTGGCTAGCCACCTTCTTGCCCACTCATCCTCACGCTAAAGTCCTTGGCGGTGTTTGACGGTCAACTGTTGCATTACCCAATTATCAACAAACAAGCCCTTTATTTGTTGACTAAAAATAGTGGAAGACCAAGGAGCTATGTTAATTTTGCAAAATATAGGGCAGACCGAATCCTGCCCTGGCATTTTGCCTCTTGCCTTGGGTTTTACAGGGATGGCAGACTATTTTAAAACTGAAAAAAACCTGAAAATTCAGATAACTGTGATTCAACCTAAAAGGAGTATCCACTCTTTTGCCGATTGACCGTTATCTGCTCACTCTAAACATCTAAATGAATATTGCAGGCAGGTATTTCAAGTGGATTGCTTAGATAATCAGAGCAAAACTACTAGAGGCAACACAAAGCACAGAATACTTCTTGAATAATAAATGGAAGAAAACAAACAGAGCGAGGTGAATATTGATTAATGTTACCCAAAATCTTAACCCTATTGGAAAATACTGAATCAATGCGAAGTAAGCACACATACACACAAACAAAGGAATCTTGTAACCGGTATGAGATTTTGCGCACGCTGAACCATTATTTCAATGTCTCGATTTCAGTTAGAGAAAAATTAAGTTTCAGAAGAACAATTTCAGAATTCAATTTACAGCAGAATGTGCTGACAAGTTAAGATTCCTTTAAACATTTTGCCACTGGAAATGTAAACTAAAATAACAGGACACCACGGTACTTTTGAAAATAAAACCATGTAATTCAGTAAATCAATAGACAACACTCGTGTTACTTGGTTCAGGCTGCATAATGTAAAAGGGTAAAAGTCTTTTGCAAGTTGATAAAAAAGTGCAAAAAGAGACAACCACAAAGAGTGTGTGTCAAAAGCAAGAACACTACGACAAACTTCCAACGTCTCATATAAAATTAGCTTAGAAAGTTTTGGTTTCTTAAGAACTCACAAAAATTTATTTGGACCCATCCTGAAATGAACACGTGTCGGCTGAGGAACATTTTTATGGCTGCGTAAAATTCTCTCTCTGCTAAAATAGTGCCAAGAAATCATAAGCTTGCATAGAAAAACAAGAATCTCAAATTCCCATTGGCGACATGCTTAAAGAACAGAAATACAGGTAATGCAACGCAAACATAGTGCAAACCATGGCAGGACATGATAGTTTGGCTGCCGCAGATCAGGGAAAAGGTTATATATCCTTATATATATATATCCAGTCATCACAGTTTCTGGTCTTTTAATTCCATAATTTGCCAAGTTTAAAAAGCACAGCACTGCTTCTCAACGCAATTTGAGATCATCGCCACTTCCCAGGTTTGATCCAGGACTAGGGTCTTGTTGTCTTCTTGCCTAGATGAGACAAAGAGGACAGAAAGAGGGGATGGAACACAAATTAGAGATGATAGAATGTTGCAAATCAAATCAAAATGTTTTAGGTGACATTGGAAACCACCACGAGAACTAACACACTGAAAATGGAATGATAGATGGCCTTGGACTCATAACGCTGTGTCGGTGCCCAAATTGGAAGGTGTTAAAATATCCAGTTTTAAATTTAGATGTTTATCTAGGCATCTCTTCTCTTCTTTTGCAGAGGTTGTTCCTATATTTTTACAGAGTTAGATGCCCCAGGCAAGAAAACTTTAGTGCCAGAGTTCTGCTTTTTCACTTTCACCCTGATTTAGTCTCCACTAATTCCAGTTTTCCCTAACATTGGAATTTTCCATTTCACAGCTTCCATCTTTTGGCGTTACCGTTACGAAAAGCTAAAATCATCTTGTTTGATTACCACCTTTGAAAAAAGGATGTTTAACGACAGACTTACAACCGTTCATTTAGTGACTCTTCGAAGTGACAGCGACGCTGAAAAAAGCGACTTACGACTGTTTTTCACGCAACCGTGGCAGCCATTCCCGTGGTCACGTGATTAAAATTCGAGATGCTTGGCAACTGGCTCCTATATCTTTGATAGTATGTGAAAAATTAGCCAAGCCCATCAATCTTTTTCCCCCTTTCTAAAAGGAAGGCAAGATAACCTAAATTAGATGTACCTTCTGCACATCTACACGTTCTCAATATTGGCTGTTGGAAGTGCCTTCTCCTTTATATTTCAGAATTATATTATGATTTGTGAGTTTCAAAGAGGGAAAAGAACACAACAACCTGAAAAGTTGTTTAATGTCCACAGAAATATGGCTTCTTTCTGAACAAGAGGCTGGACTGCTGTGTAAAAATGCCAGCTTTCTTTTTGCTTAGAATTTGCACTGAATGTAGTGCAGAGCAGATAATCTTTGCAAGTCAAGCAATCCTGTAATATATGCTTTTCTTTCAGTCAATACAGGCTAAAAAGGGCTGAGCAACAGTGAAACGCTGACCGACAGTGATCAATAATAATTATATATTTATAGCATCACTATTAACATGAAAGTTCTTTTTCAAATAAAAGCATTTTTTTCCCTAATGGAAAAAATACCGAAGAAGCTAAGACCTGCAATGGACTTTCAAAAGGCACATAAAGATTGGTCCAGCTGAGAAAAAATGAATTAATGTGCCAAGGATTCAGTTTTCAGTTGAGAAATTGCCCATAGCTTACAGTTTCATGTTACTTTTTCAAGGAAAAGCTTTTGGTTTTTACTGTAATTGTATTTTCTTATGTTTTATAATCTTACAAGCTTCTTTGGTAAGACTTGTGTGTCCTGAAAAACAGGCTAAACATCTCTTAAATAAACAAAGGCTATCACAGCCTCAATTAAATGAGTTGAGTTCAGCATTTCAAAACATGCAAAGCAATTTTTCCATGACCATATAGCCTGATATTAAATGTCACTTCCCCTTGTCTGTTTTCTATAGAAACCCATCAACCAAAGGGTAAGACATAATAATTTTCTTATATTTATACTCAAGGCAACATTTTTCTTGCCTCTAGACTACACAATTTAAAAGCTTGCCATACAGAGGATCTTGCTTCGACACAGAACTGCTTGAGCCATGCAGAATTCTAAATTTCTACAGTGCAGTAAAAGGGTTATATAATTACATAAAGATACATGTATCCTTTTGGAAGTTTAATGCAAGTATAGTTGCTGTCTTCCCACAAGGCGAAACAGCATCTTTTGTAAAATCCCCATCATGTGGTGGGGCTTGTGGTGAGACAAAGCTACCCACAAGAATAGCAGCAACGGCAGCACACTGGCAATCTCCTGTCTGTGGCATTAAAGTGTATCCAGCAAACAAAACCCTTGCAATGTTCTTGTTTGAACTGATTTATATATCATGTTACATTGTACAAAAGGGATAAGCAAAGCAGCTAGCTTGGCCTATCTATCTTAGCTTCTGCAGCTCGGGCTGTCCGAGGGGAGATAACAACACATAGTAGAAGGACTGGCATTAAGAAGATATATGCCTGCTCTGCTTCTCTGGTCAATAAGGAAGAGTAATAAATTAGGGAGAGCATTCTTTAGATTATAATAATAATAATGTTAGGTTCCAAGTTGCATGAAAATTAAGGCGATAACCCCCGTAAAAGGCCTTCATTAAACGTTACATTGCATGCACTTCTTTCCTCTGAAACATCATTAAGACTTTAAAATAGTCAGACAGGAAGATACACTTTACTTTCCATACATAAAAAGAAATTTTGTAAGTAATATTTTCCAGATGTTGCCACATGGTATGCAGCATCAATCCACATGAATCTTTTGTCTCCTGGCTGTGACTGCAAGTCTAGGGCCTGACTTACTCCACTGCCGCCGTCCTTTTGATTTCAAAATCTGCTACTGCTTGTGTTGTAGCTTTAAAACTTTCTCTCATTTGCTTTAAATATCACTGCCACTCTGACTGATTAAGAGTTATCTCCAGGAGACGGCTTCTCTCAAAATTCTGTGGTACGTTTAATTGCAAGTTCTTGTGCTAAAAGATAGCACCTCCAAAAAATGGTATTGAGGTTTCCATAAGATGGAGATCATTTAACTGTCCAATAAAACTGTTTTAATTGCTGAGCCAAAATTAGAAAAGGTTTTTTTTCTTTCCAAAATTATGTTTAAAGTGGGGAAATATTCTCATTCTGTATTTTGTACCTTCTTCCCTAACTTGACTTTGCCAAAAAGACGCACTGGATGCATACAAATGTTGCTTGTGGGAATATTAATGAAGTCTTCCATTTAAGCAAGTGTCGCTACGCCGTGTCTAAGAACGATATTCATGCCTGGCCTTCAAAACTGTCAGAGGCTAATCTAAAATAAGAACCCTGTGGATGTTTTAGGAAAGAAGAGTTCTTTAAGTTTTTGCACATGCAGAAGACTAAAGCAAATAAAAATCCTTTATGGGAAAGGAATTGTATAAATAAAGAATACAATCTGTGATCATTTTCATATGCTGCTAGCAGTTGGATGAATACTTCCGAAGAGCTGGCGCCTCTTTTGAGGAGTGGCAGACCAAGGAGTGCAGGGATTTCCCTCTTTATTGAGCTCAAATGTGGTATCTATTAAAGTAATTTAAACTACGCATGGGTTTTTTTTTTTCATAAAAGAAACTTTTATGCAGACTTCGCAGCAATCCTATATGTCCATTTGTAACAATGAGACTTTTAATCTTTAAGCGCTCTAATTGTACGTGTTCGGTAACCTCGCCATCTGAAAAGGAGTCAGCTTCAACTTCAGTTTTATACAACAGCCCAATTTTCTCCATTATCCTTGAGAGCAGAGCTAAAATTCAAGGCAGACATTTGAACCTTTTCAAATATTCTAGAACGGTGGAATTTGAAATGTATAAGCCAAGGAAAATGAAAATAATAAAATTGCTAACCCGTCTTACTTCCTAAATGATGGGTTTTAATCCTGGAACCAACAAAATGGTATCTAGTGTAGAGCTTCCACTTGTGGTGTACAGATGGCTTTTGCCTAGATGCGTCTCCCTTCTTTAAATCAGCATACCAAAAAAAATCAGAAAGAGGAGCAAAGCCTTTACCAAAAAATAACTCAGATATGGGGGAGATCCTTAAGACTGTGTAAGGGGGCAGACGGAATAATCTGGAAGAACAGAAGGAAGAGCTGCAAGCAAGATGACAGATAACATCCATCCAGATTCAGCCATAGTTTCATTCCATACAGCATTAACCTTGTGAACTCTCAAGCTTCCTCCTTCCGTTATATATTCAAGATGGACAGTGTTTAACATTTATTTGTTATGTATATGTAGGGGTGTGGGTCTATACATATCTTGTATATAGTTATGTTTAGGTGTGTGTCATGTACGTGTTCACTTTGAGAGCGGGCAACTAAATTTCATTTTTGATGTGTGCCGTTGTGCCCACAGTAAAAAAAAATGACAATAAAGGTTATCATATCCAGATCCTAAGTACCCCAGTGAGGTCCATCGTAACTCTGAACAATCACTAAGTGACTGGCTGTAAATTGAGGACTACCTGTGATTCACTTAACAACTGTGGCAAGAAAGGTTGTAAAGTGGAGCAAAATTCACTTAACAAATGTTTCACTCAGCAACAGAACATTTGGGGCTCGATTGTGATGATAAGTCGAGGACTACCTAATTTAGTTTCTGTGCCTTTGGTTTCCAAGTTTGGTTTACCCTGATAGGCCGACAGACTGGATGCAGCCGCATCAGAGTGGGCAGGAGGGATGAGAAAGAAGTAAATGTTAAGGGAAAAAGAGAAGAAATATCTGATGTTGCAACCTGAGATTTGCACTAAAGATTTTGTTATCAAACTATTGATTAACCCAGTCACCACGTTGCTTTTTAAATGCTCAAATGTAAAATTGGAAAATTAGTAAAATATTATAAACAAAAGAAAAGAAAGAAGTCCCATACATGTTGGCTGGAGGGAAAGGGACGGGCTGGGAGTCGCTGGCCACAAGACACCAGAAGGCACAGTGGGATTTAGCTGACAGGACGGGCTGGTGATGCATACATGCATGTGTATAAAAAAAAAATTAGTGAACTGAACTATTATTTGGAGGGATTTTTAAATGGCTTAGCAAAAAATGTTGGGGCTGGTGAATTCTACACAGATCTTCCATTCATTCTGCAAACATTTTTACCACTGCGCTGAGTCACTTGGTTCCCCATCAAAGCCAAGTAGAATTATTCCACTGTGTGTCTCCATCCGGTTCCCGTCTTTCATTGCAGCAAGAAAGGAGTGGTGGCTTATGGTTTCTGAAACCAAATCCTATAAACTTCAAGATTTAAGCTTTTTTGTTCTCGGCCAGGGAGAACAATCAGTTCTCTTCTACTTTTTTGGAGAGTAGATTTGTTTGGAGGACAATCAGATCTACGTCTTGGAGGACAGTCACACGTTGTTGTTTTTTCTTAAAATATATTTGCAACAAAACATCCCGGTGTTTATGACATTAACTATGGAAAAAATTGGTGGGGCTCAGGAATCAAAACCTCTGAGCTGGTTTTAGGAAAGGATCTTGGTTTGAAAACTGGATGCTGCCCCTTGTGCGTCACCGAGTATTATACAGCACACCATCTTAGCAGACAACAGAGGTTTAACCATGCAACAATTCATTCAAAATAGATGAATGGTTTATAAACCATTAACTAACCTAGGGACTATCAGACCAGCAATATTCCACATTAAAAAAACCTTGCTTTAATAGAAGGATTAACGTTTTTTTAATAAACGCATGCGCTAATCTTAATCTTAAACAAGAGTTCTCAAAATCACAACATCGAAATATCAAATACTGTAAAAATAATAATAATAATAATAATAATAATAATAATAATAATCTAGATGTTTGGTAAAGTACTAACCAGTAACTGACAGCAGCTGTGAGACTCTCACCTCCATTTCCTCTCGATGGGACCTGTCTCTGTCTTCAAATTCCCGAGTTCTTCTCCGGGCTTCTTCGAAAGCCTGCTGTGCTAATGCGTCTTCCTGCTACCAACCAGAAAGCAGAGTCAGGAGAAAAACAGTCTTACTTGTCTTGGACTCAAACGTTTGCTGGATTGAAGCCGTCCCCTGGCCTAACTCTACCCTTTGTGGGAGAAATGCACGATGCATCGTGAAGCAGAGCATGCAACTGATAGTGAGATACTATTAATGCAGGTCTGTGGCTATGTATAGTCTCAGGGTTGCTCCCCCTTGTTGTCTTGATGAACAAATGAGGCATGTTAAGATGGTGTGCTCTCCCTCAGCCCCGCCTTTAATCATTCTGTTCCTTCTCAAGTTCAAACTGGGTGTTTGTCCAATGGTCCGGGCACAGCTCAATTCAATCTGAGTTGGTCACCGGGACCACAGGTTGCTTTCTTCCAAGCCCATCCTCAGAACTTCTCGATACAGAACTGCCCAGTGAACACATCCTGGACAGCGAGAAGTTCCTTGAGGATGGGGCCCCAGAATGAGTCCAAAAGCTTGGAAGAACAAGCTGGTGACCGACTCACATCGGTGGCTGCAACGTTATCCTGGGACATGTATATTTGCCTTCCTTCACGACAGCTTAATTCCTCTACTGTTACCGTGGCCTTGTGTGGATTCTCACAGGCTGCTTGTCCCTGCCATGCAGGCAATGAAGAATAGAAATGGTTTGCAACCTGTATGTGAGGGAATCACTGCGATTTGCATCTTAGCAAAATTAAGAAATATGCTTGCTCTAAGTGTTGATATGACAGTTTACAAGGTGTTAATCTTGGCATCATCTCTTTATAATGCTAACCCTTGTGTATTGCACCAGATAACACAGTAATAAACCTGGCTGTTATCAGAAGAAAAATGCAGTATGGCTGGGTAAAATTCTTGATATTCTTCAATTGCCAGAGGCTTTATTGATTATCAGTGTCTATAATTTCAGTCTGACCTTTTCAAACCAAACATGAGAATCTTCCACCGTAAATTTTATAATCTGGAAAGCTTTTTGTTGCGTAAGTCTAGTATATTTATTTTTAAAAAATATTATGAGGTTTCTGCTAACATTTCCCAATTAACTATTCTATGCTAAGGAACTGCATACACGACAACATGTAGTTCTGACACTATTTTTAAAAAACATATTTATCTTTTCTTTTTAGTATTACCCTGCTAATAATCAAAAGCTGCATGTATAATTTGTTAATATAAACACATTACATTTGCTCATATTCCATTAGTAATCAGATTTTCCAAACATTTCCAGCTGATAATTGCTTTGGCTCCAGAAAATCCAACTGTATTTTAATATGCTCCGAGTACATTAAAATTTAAATCTTAAAAATTAAATGACTATACCAAAAAAAACAAAAAACCCCACATTAAATTGCCTTTTATGCCTAAGGCATTTTCTGAGCCCTTAAGCTATTTTGAGAAATGATGTAAAAGAGCATCTGCGGGGCTTTGCCTAATTTAATACCAACTTCTATTAATCAATAAACATTAGCAAAGGCCTCGGCAATCTGCAATGAAAGGCAACACACACACTGGAGACTGGATTCTACTTTCATGTAGGTCGGGCCCTTTTGGTCAATTTTCTATTCCTATTCCTATGCCTATCCTATGAATGACACATGAGCCAGGAAACCGTGGACATTTAATTATGAGCAATGACTGCTAAAGAAAGAAGTGAAAACAAATACCTAAAGTCAAAAGAAAAAAAGAACCAGGCAGATCCAAAGGTCGTGAGCCTACTTCTTTACCGTGACTCCGCTGATGTTTTCAATGCATTATATCAGAGGTCTCCCAACCTGGCCACTGTTAAAGACTTGTGGAATTCAGCTCCCAGAATTCCCCAGCCAGCACGGGTGGCTGAGGAATTCTGCAGCTGAAATCCCCAAGTCTTAAATTGGCCAAGTTGGGAGACCCCCTTATTATATGACTCCTTCGACCTCAAGTCATAAAGGTGTATCAAAATGCACGAAGTTTCGAAATCACAAAATAGCACACGGGACGCCCGTGGTTGTCTCTTTTACCTGTGCCCGTTCCTCATCGAATTCTAGGCAGCCCATGCCGTCCAGTCTTTGGAGATCTATCCAGCCTTTCCAGATAACACAAACCCCATTAAGGATCATGGGTGCTTTTAAGTAGACCTGGAAAGTGAGAAAAAAAAAACAAATGCTGATAGTGAGGATGATGTGTAGGAAGATGAATCTAGGCAGAGATATTAAACATGTCACGCTAGTATCTCTTTCTGTATCTTTAATTGTAATGGCTCCTGCCATGGGCTTACAACGTCCAAAATAAAAGGCCAGATTCCAACTTTTAATACTAAAAGTCATTAGGGTAAATCCTACAAAAATGGGCAAAATATAATATACATTCAAACACACACAGAATCTTTTCAACACCAGGGTTCTCCAACCTTGACAACTTTACATTACCTCAAGAAACATAATCAACAGTATTCTGAGTTTTGTTTTAAAGTTGGAACAAGGTGTTTTTCAGCTGTTTTGAACTGCCTCTCCCCTTTTGTGCAGACCACCACAGCAATCAGACTGATAACACAAACAAAACTTCAGCTACTACCGGTATTATTAATTAGGATTCTAATTAGGATAATAGCAGGACACAGGCAAAAAATAAAAATAAAGATCAACCTTTAAAATATTCCAGCTACAAGTTTACTTTTAAATACGTACAATATGGTAACAGGAAAAACAGGCATTCAAATACATTTTGTGATCTGTATTTTTCCCAAATCTTATGTCCTACATAAAAAAACAAAAAAAAACGTATTATTTTGCATAATACGCTTAATTAAAAAAAAAAACTCACCAAGAACGAAAAACCATTAAATAAGCATAGGCTGGTCAGAGTTTATAGCAGTAACAGCTTTTACGAAGTGTTTAGATCGTAACAATTGTATTGAAAAAAAAATTATCCTTTTAAAAGTGCTGGCACAATAAATATTATTATTCCTGGAAACAGTTTTGTAAAAAAAAAAAAAAAAAGTTGTTAAGAGCTCTTCATCATGCAGAGGATTGAGACCATTCTGGAACTGAATTAAATTACTCCAGGTTTCATTTGAGGAGAAAATTCTGAGTCACGGAATGTAGGTGCCCCTTGTTTAATAACCACCACTTCAATAGTGCTGAATGAGTGGGAGTTACAACAGGTCTGGCTGTAGCAGTGTCCTGTAGTCACGTGATTGTGATTCTTGCCAGCTTCCCACAAACAAGGTCAATGGGGAAGCCAGCAGGAAATCGCCATCATGTGAGTTCCTTGCTTAAAGACAGTAACCAGGGATTACTGGAGCTGCTGTCACTAAGCAGTATGGTCGTGTGATGTCGCGCTTTAAAATGCATTGCTTAAAGGCATAAATTCTGGTCTTAATTACCAGGCAAGATTACCCGTAAAATCTATCAGAATCATGAAAGATTTTTTTTGGTCTTTCGTTTAGGTAATTTTAAATCAAAGTTCTTTTTTTATAATTCATCGGATATAGGCATACTTCCTCAGGGCTTGGTGATGCAAGGAGATTCCTTTTCACGAGTTGTATTTCATTTGGCTGATCCAGAATGAAAATAACCCAGTATTAACTCTCATTTTACGGTTGTCAACATTTAGGGAGAAACCGAGCAAAGAGCTACAGAAGCTAGCTATCTGCTTGGTTTTACTTAATTCCATTTAAATGCTTGTTTTTCCAAAAACAGTTTAGGTGGCTCACGTTTCTTTCTTTCTTCAGAATTTTTTTTAGACCGCCCCCAGCAAAAAAAAATTCAAGAGTATCTTATCTAGAGCCTGCGGGTGTCACATCAGATCCATCCCTGTGATAGCAACTGCACTAGCAATAACTAGAATTTTATCGCGGAAAAAAACATGATGAAAATCCGGAGATTGCAAACAGGTTATCTTAGACAGGATGCAGGGCTGGAAGGAGCTCTATCAGAGACACACATCAAAATCAGGTTAACAAACCCAAGTCTAGCTTGTTTCTGAAATCCTCTTTTAACCCATGAATGCCTTTGAAACAGCACAAGAATTATTGCACAGATCTGAATTAAGAGTGGTATGGTATTGCACTGATTACAGCTTATTTATTGTGGGTGGAAATAAAATCCCTGTTTCCTATTAAGTTGTTTCCCAACAGTTGCAAACAAACAGTTTGCAGAATGAATTGTGCTTTTTTTTTTTGTTTGAAGCTGAACTTACTAATGGGAGCTTCTGTCTTCAATAATGAGATTTCAGTACAGTTTTCCATTTTAAAAATGCCTCTCTCCAGAGGGAGTTTATTAAAGAAAGCTGAAGATGATACTATGACTAAAGAACGTTTACACTCGGTATTAGCAAGGCTTTTTTTTTTTTAAGGGGAATGGGGTGGAGGAAGGAACGAACAGTGAAGTAGCAAAATGATAATGCTTCTGGGACAACAGTGGCTTTTTAAAAGTAGGAGTCTCAAAATGATCCCAACCTTATAATGTTTTGACTGAAAGGACTGCTTTGAGTATGCAGAGCTTAGAACAAAACAGGGTTCTGGAGTTTTGTTCCCAATATGGAATAAAATAAGGCATTGGTCTTCCTTATCTTATCTTTTCTTTTTTCAAAAATCTTTCAAGATGAAAAATCTTAAGAGTGCATTAGTCTATAAAACAGCAGACACAGCTTTCATCCACATCTTATTGTCAGAAACTATTTGAGGAGAATTGGAGGTGAAGGAAGATCAATTAAAAGTTTTAAAAGTTTGAGACTTGGGGGGGGGAAAGATCGCTGCTAACTTGGCAGGTAAGTTTGCCGCTGCTTTAAATGGTTTACAATAAGAAAGTTATTCATGAGCAAGCAGTGCAATGATGTCTCATGAATTGGGCTCTTTTTTTCAAGGGAGACTGCCAAATGTAAATTCTGCAATCTGCGTGTCCAGTAGGAAGCGAGAATATGGGGAGAACAGGGGGGGTGCAGAAGGTGTGAGAAATGTGCGTTGACAATTCTGCTCCAGCCTCAGAACTAAATTTGGTTGGTTCAAGTAGTTTTGTTCC